AATAAAGGAACTATACTGGACTGGACTGCCTCATCATTGTTCTTGGGCTGGGCCTGACAAAGATTCTACAATGAAATAAAATCTGTTCACAAAGAGATGATTGCTTTTAACAGAAAGGTATAAGCTTGCATATGCATGTCTATATATACACACACATCCATATAAGCTTAACAATGTTCTACAGCCTTTATTTCCATTAAGCAGCAGACTGATTTTGGCAAAGAAGTCATTTTAACATCAAGGTTGCTGAACTGTAAAATCTGTGCAAATCATTAATAGGGTGCTGTTCACAGCACCTCTTGAATGCTCAATGGGTGGCTGCCTCCAAGCCCGCTTCCAGCCAATTGCATGTTGCCCTGCTTGCTTTCATAGGCTGCAGCCACTGCTTAATGCATCAGAAGCTCTGCCTTTCACCTTTCGGCCTTTCAGAGGTGTTACCCTCATTAAACAAAAAACCAGCCAGATCGCTTTCAAGATTCAAAAAGCTTTCCCTATCCAAGTACCAAGCATTGGCATCTTTTTTCACAAAGGCCAGGAAGCTAATGCATCATAAATGTTTTATTTACATTTCTCTGTCCTTGTCCAACACAGCTAATTATAAAGAATTAGAAAAATTTAATCCAACATTTCCTAGGACACTGTATCTTGCTTCTGCCTTTTACCATTGGCCTTACACATGTTACCTCTGAGACTAGGATAAATTGGCATTTACTCAATTTGTCAAAGTTATATTTATTTCAAAGCTATATTTGTTAATAAGGATCCCCATCTTCTTTGGGGACTGATACAATGGACACTTTCCCCAAATGGTATCCTTTCCTATTGTTGAAGGACCTTCTTCAGTATTTCTGGGGAGACGGGCAAATGCATGTTTAAATCAAGCACTAGACAGCAGCTACTTATTTTTATTTCCCAAGGAGGCTTTTAAAAGAAATTATGTGTGTTTTGCTATATATGCCAGCTTAGTTAGGAAAAAAAAAACTTCAAAAAACCACCTGGGGTCAGAGATGGCCACAAAAACTTTGGTGCCAATTAACATCACATCTTGTAGACACTAGAATTAGAGCAGTGGGTTTTAATCATATATTCCTGCTGCAGCTACGTAGAAAACTAGGTCTTCTAACTTAAACATTAGTCAATTGCTACTGTAAGCATGTGTCATGTTGAACACCCTTTTTTCAGGGTGTGCTCCTTATGCATCTTAGTTTACGAAGTGAAGAATTTATCTGCTTGGCTATTACCCAGAATCAAATTATGTAAAAAGTGTGAGCGTCTGCTCTGCTCTGAGTTGATTTGCATTTGAAATGCATGACTGCCTTTACCACATTCAAACAGAGAAATAAAGTCTGATATTCTAGAACTCTTAAATAAACCTTGGCTTATTGGTTTAGGCTGTCATCCTGTTTTCTTACCTCAGAGAATTACTGAACTCAGTGGGACTTGCGGTTTGAGATGCTTGTAAGATATTAACAATGCAATTAGAAAAAGTAATTTATCAAAAAGATAAAACATTTGGATAAATGGGGACAATATGATTAATATCCATTTAAAACATTGTTCTTACAGCTTGCCTGCTACACCTCAAAACTCATCAAAAATAAATTATAATTTTTAAGTTATCACAGAAGGTTACTATATGCAGTTAGCTGCTCATAATTTTTCTATTTAGGTTAGATTGTTAGATGGTCAATTGTTTATACACTAATAGCTATTTCAATAAAAATTTGACACATCTAGTTTTGCAAAGGTTTTTTACACTCTTAAATATGATGAATAAAGCCAAATAGTGGGAATCAACATTTTCTCTCTTTGGAATACCAGGAAATCAAATGATACTTGTATTTTGGTATACTCAAGACCAAGGACTGATGGGAAAAAGCATAGGGCTCCATGCACACTACTATGTAGCTGCTGAAGTTAATTTACGTAACTGAATTCACAGACCTTAAAAAAGTATCCAAGCAGAGGGTGGCTTTAATTGTTCCTTGCTGGCAAAACAGGTCAGCAATACAGGCTGTACCTGTTCTACTCTCACCTGGTAATTGATGATTAACAGCAAAAAACAAGCCAACTGGGCTTGTTTTTTTGCTGGCAAGCAAGGAGCAAGATGTTCTTTTGTGGCATCTGAACATGTGCAATGACATCACTAAACAAGCCCACCCCCACAGTGATATCACGTCACAGGGATATAAAGGGGGGATTGTGCAGTGATGTCAGGGCAGGGCTAGTCATACCTTGTCCTGCTTTGCTGTGGACACAGTGTGTGGGTATGATACAGCCTGAGTTGCTGCTTAATACCTTAGAGTGAAGGTTTGTTATTCAGCTGCAATCATATTCATGAAGAGTGCTCACAGTCCCCTCTGCTATCAGCCCTTTTGCAGATACTCATGCTAAATGTAAACATCTCTAAAAGCAGCTAGGTGAACATCTACAGACCTACCTATGAGCATGTGCATCCTGATAGGATTAAAATATGTATACATTCTAGATTCAGGGGTCCCCTATAGTTCTGGACACATTTGCAATTTTGACAGTAATTTGAAATTTTCAGTATTCTCACAAAATTACCAGAAAGCAACTGATTCGATTATTCCCTGCCACACCATCCAGGATGCTTGCTATGCAATGGACCATTGTCTTTTGCCCAGACAGGCAAGCACTCTCCAAAAGAAAGCGCTAGGTGGCAACAACCCAACTTTATTTGCTAATAGCGATTCTTTGGTCTGTGTGGGCCTCCACATCATCATTGTCGTCGTCATGCAGACAAGGTGGATCAAGTAGGGCAGGGGGCCTAGCAGATATCAAGGGAAGTGTTCAGAGGAACATGGGTAGCGATGTTGGCCATATTAGAAATTCAGATTCTAGACAAAACCTTATCTGTGTGTTACACATTGGCAACTCCTGGGAGCCGATAAGTACATGGTTGTCAATTAGGCAGTTTGTAGGAAGTGCACATTGTATTAATGCAAACACGTGTATATATCTCCTTCCCCATTGCGTCAACAACCCCCCAAATTCATAATCCTATAGGAAAATTTTACCTACAAGAAAAATTCCATTAACTTGCTTTATTTTTACATGTGCACACTTGTAGTTTGGCACGTATATCTAAACAATGCTGGTAAACAGAATAAGAAACAGAATTCCAGTTGTTGTAGTTAGGATTTGTTCCAAGATGGTTCCCTTCATCGATGCATTACCTAAAAGGAATGAGGAATATTTCAGTCAAGTCTTCACTTATGTTTTACTGCCACTGCTTTCACTCATTTACCCTGCAATTATAATCATACCTTGTAGTGACATCTTGGCCACTTCCAAAGGTAATGTCAAATTGTCCGGCCTTTCATTGTCAGAGTTTAGCTCAGCAGTGACATCATTAGATGCCATATGCAATAGCTCATCTAGGGATAAGAGTATCTGAGTGTTAAAGCTGGCTTTTAAACAGAGTTCTTACAAATTTTTAAGGCTTTTGGTGCTTTAAAAGGCAAAGAGATTGTTTTGGCAGAAAACCTCATGGGATTCCCCCCACTCCCCCAAAAGCAAATCATTCAGATGTATGTCCAAATATTGCTTTGGCTCCCTCAAAAGTGAGGAAAGATTTAAGTTCCTGCATTGCTGTTAAGCAACATTTTGTTGAGTAAGCCATTACACTAAGCAAAACCACTCTACAGTTTAGTATCTCCAAAATGCTTCCTCATATCTTGTGGTTCTTTCAATACCCATGGTTTTGTATTACACATGAACCCTATATTTGGGTTAAGACAATATATAGGCTATATTGTACTGTGTCTAATCTATTAGCTTAAGAATTTGATACCAACAATTGTTTGTATATACCCATCTCACATCTGTCAACATCATCTATAGTAGGGCAGATTTAGGGAAAAGTAGGTTTTAGGTTACAACATCACTATGGTTAGTTATGGTTGCCTGCAGAACAAATTTCTCATAGCAAAATGGCAGTGAAAATAATTAATACATAAAACTACAATGGTAGATTATACAGTATGTTGTATGGTTTTTTGATATCTAGGATAGAAATCTGAAGAAAACCACTCGCCTTTCATAGTTTCATTTGAGTCGAGAAGCCATCTTAGTGCTTTATCAGCCTTGAGGATAAAGTGATGTCCAACTGTAGAATCAGCCTCTGCTTCTATCACAGGAAATTCGCCTGTAAAAAAGACATCCCAAGAGCAGCATACAGTATTGACCTCTCTGTGCTGATATGATGGTTAATATTTGTAGAGTTCAAAATTAATGTTAGGTACTCTACAGACCCCAGTGAATTCTCAGTAATATGAACTATATTCCCCATAATTCCTGTCCTAGAGTTATGGTCCACTGTCCCTAGAGGGTGCAAAGATATCTACTCCTGCTTGAGCAGGATATACTTCAATATCAACACACTTTGTGGCATTGAGAACTCCATGTTCCACCATCAACTCATTTGTCAAAAGGAGATCTAGTTCTCTACAGCTAGTAAACAATTGAGAATATAGTTACCTGGCTCATCTCCACTGGTTTTAACCAAACTAACTTCCCAATATATATTATATTTTGATCCAGCCTATGCAGAGTACAAACATTTGAGACATTGAGGAAGGTGGAGGTAGCCCATTTTCTAACATAATTTCATTGTTAAAAGGTGGCTCAGTGCAATATAAATCTTCATGATGGGCAAGGCAATAAGCTTTTGTTGAGAGTTAGGCGGCATACAAGTTTAAATTTATTATTATTAATAATATAAAGCTCAGAGGATTTGAATATGAATTCTGATTGTTCCAAGTCAGGCTGGTAAGATATCTTCAGTTTTCTATCACAACCTCTATTTACAGCAAATTCCTATTAGGGGTTGATGTACAGATGAACAGAAATAGTCCTTTTATGGAAATCACTGCTTGAGCAACAGGCACCATGATGTATTTACTGGAATCAAGCCTTTATCACCAGCTGCATAACAGGTGCTACAGAAAAAATATTCGCTGCATATTATATCTGCATATAGCTTGACGTGTATTCTCCATGCAGGGAGATTGTCCCATTGCAGAGATTTGCAAGCAGAACTGGAGCAACAGGTATGAATCTGAATGGTATTCCTATCTGAAATGCCACAGAGCTGTTTCAGTTAATAAGCTGTTTTTCAGAAAGCAGTATTGAAAATGGTACGCTATCTTTTCTTCCCACTGGATAATACAGATTTAGATTTTCCTTGAAAAGAAAAGGTATAAAGGTATATCATGTTAAAGTTGCCAGGTATCAGAAATATGTAAGTCTGTAATCACTTACAGTCTGGCTTCTAAGGGGGGTCTAAATGTCTACAGATATTGTAAATCAGCTGTGGTATAAAAAGGGGAAAGTCAGAAATCCAATAGTTTTTTTTTAACCTTTTTTCTTTTCTCTCATTTTTTTTGTATTTTAATCCTTGTTAAATTTGCTTCATTTATCTATTTTTTCCTTTATTAATGTGATTATATATGTATGTATGTATGTATGTATGTATGTAGCAATACAATGGGGTCTCCAATATTAAGTAATCAGCTTAAGATGAAAGTTTTTCAAATAACAAATATTTTGATGCAGTTCTTGTTTCAATGTTATATTCAACTTTGGATGAAAAAGTCAAATAATTCTATGCTTGTAACATTGATATTCTAAAATGTAATTAATATTGATAGAATACTTTTTTCTTCTCTCCTCTATTCTCAACACTTTAAGCTATATGAATAATAGAATGCTAATAATTTCTGGTTTCACTGTATAAATATCACTGTATTGAAATAATATAATGTATAATGTATCAAGATATATAACAATATAATAAAAAAGGAAAAAGAAAAGAAATAATCTTCACAGTTAGGCACTAGCTTCCTTGCCTTCTGCCAGCATCTCTTCCTCTGTTCCTACTTGGTCTCTCTGATGATTTCTAGCAGCCTTCTGGATTAAGACTGGACCCACCACAAGGTCAGCCTCCATTTCTCCTTTAGAGATGTCAACTACAGCTAGCCATACATAGAACAAAATATTTTAGTTAGGACAAGGGTTTGGAGAGAGTCCCACCCAAGGCTTTCCCATAAAATAACATTGACTTTCTATCTATGCAAGGGGCAAGTGAAGAGATCCATATATGTTCAATCCATCTTCAAGATATAAATTGAAGTACTGTTTCTAATACAATTTAAGAGCCAGTTTGGTCTAGTGGTTAAGGCACCAGGTTAGAAACCAGGAGACCGAGTTCTAGTCCCATCTTAGGCATGAAAGCCGGCTGGGTGACTTTGGGCCAGTCACTCTCTCTCAGCCCACAACATCAGGCTTGAGCAGCAAGCTGGGTTGTTATATGTCAATTCCTGTTGCAACCAACAGAGCAACATTTGGTTGGACTCTGAACCTGCAGTAAAAATACTAGGAAGGAAGAAAAATTCTAATACAATTTATAAAAGTGTACAAGTGCTTCCTTTAATTATGAGACAGAGTTTTGAGAAACTTCATGTTACTAGTATAGAATTTATAGTTCTTTATCTAATGCATTATTGCTGTTTGGACCTACCTGTTCCAGAAGGCATTTGTTTCCTCTGGCTTGGCACATGAAGACTGCTGGTATCGTTTGATTTGTGCCTTCCACGAGAACCACAGTCTCTAGTCTCACAGCAGTTACAGATGTCAATGGAACCCTCTACAGGTAACCAACTGGTAGATTAAAAAATGTCAGCTTCTTTCAAGATTTCTCCATCTCTCTTTATGCAAACACATATAGTACTTACATCTTTTTTTCACTGTTGAATGAACAAGCTTTATTTAAGGGATCTGGCTCTTTGGCCGCTGCAGTGACTTTCAGATGGCATGCAATGTAGATCTTGATAGGGAGTGAAAATTAGACAGGATTAGAAGAGGGAATGCTGTCATCCCATTGCATAAGATGATAACCAAAGGCATAAATGAGTGCTCACCAAGCTTCTTTCATTTCCAGCAATTTGGGATGCTGGTATGGTAAACTGGAGTGTTTCTAGCTGAGACCTTGGAATTATAAAGGATGATTCTGCATCATGAGATGTTCTATCTATCAAGCATCTAAATCCAAAAAAAAAAAAAAAAAGATGTGGTTGGAGCATTATCTCAGCACATACTAGTTTTCTTAAAATTTAGTCCCTCATTATTTGTAGGCCAATCTCTGCTTCATTTAATTTCAAGAAACTATATATACTGCTGAAGCCTAGAACTACTAAATTTGATTCTAGGTTTGGGAAAGTGGGGTTGTTGGATGGATTGATAGTCTACTCCACAAGTGACTAAGCAAACATTTTTTCACATGATGGTGCTCCCATACAGCAGAGATTATAGGAGATGAGGTCTGTTAACATCTTACTTCCCCCTTTGTATTCTTCTTTCCAGACAATCATCACTGAAGTTGTTGTTGTTGTTCAGTCGTTAAGTCGTGTCCGACTCTTCGTGACCCCATGAACCA